GTCATCCATGCTGGCTGGGGAATTCTGGGAGTTGAAGTCCATAAGTCTTAAAGTTCCCAAGATTGGAGACCCCTGCATAAAGCGAAGATATTGCCTGCTGTGGTGCGGTTTTGCTAAAAGCCAGAAGCAACATCCAGTTTTTGGCAAACCATCATTAAATGCAGCCATGTGACCCCAGGATGCTGCAAATGACTTTAAATGTGTTGGTATTGCCAAGTGCCGAACGTTGTCATGTGAATGCAGAGGGGGGACAACCATTGGAGCTTAATAACTAGGTTGTAACTCCCTTTTTAAAGGTAAATTGTAACTTTGAAGGGTAGATAAGCGAGCAGTCATAATTTGAGGACTATCTGTAGCCATGCATTCCACTTTTACATTCTGTATTTGCAGTGACTGAGACCCATAAGAATGAAAGAGCTTAGAATTATCCAAAGTAAGCCAGTGTACATCTTAGCAAGGCAATTCCTTCCTCACTATGACATTCCCTCACCACTGTCAAACTATCCACTAAGGCTCCATTACTATTATTATTAGTCTTCTCATCGTTCCTATCACCCATCTCCTCCCACTTTATGACTGCAGGACTGTAACTTTGTTGCTTGTATCCTTACGATTTATATTGATATTGTTTTCTGATTGCTTATTTGAACCCTATGACAATCATTAAGTGTTGTACCTTATGATTCTTGACGAATTTTCATGTCTTTTTAGGTACACTGAGAGCATATGCACCAAAGACAAATTCCTTGTGTCCAATCACACTTGGCCAATAAAGAATTCTATTCTAGTCTATTCTAAATCGACCAGGTTTCCACCTCCGCACAAAAGCTATCGCCCTACCAATCCTCTGAAAACGGAGGGAGTCCAGCCGGAGCATCTCCCGTTTCTGCTCATTATTTCCCTACGAATAGGGAGGGCGTAGCCAGGGACAGCGCAAATCCTCCGAGGGCACCGGTCGTCCCGAAACTCCCTCCCCGGCTTGGCCCAGCCACCCCGCGGAGTCCAGCCGAGCCTGTAATACCTGTGACCCCCGCGTCAGGCCCCGGCCGCTGAGCTGTGCATGCCGAAGCTGGGCCAAGATATTGATGGGCCCTCGCTTTGCTTCACGCCGGCCGAGCGTGCAGGAAACGGGGTCCGCTGCTGGTGATAGCGCCGGCACTGCAGCTCCCGCACCCCCTATGGTGGATGCCATAGTCGCTCTTGCCCCGGCCAGACGCAAACAGGAAGCTTCTCTCCTCTCGGAGCTTTGTTCGGGGACGCCTTCCGGTCGAGGTGGGACGGCGACAGGAAGTGTTCTTCTTTTCCTAAGGAATGATGGGAAATGAAGTCTTTGGCCATAACTAGGTTATGTACTGTACTGTACTTTATGCTAAGAGAAGGGAATCGCTCTGAGCAACGTCAGCAAAGAGAAAAACGCTGCTGTTATGTCTTCCGGAATGAAAGACAGCACTTCAGATTTTATGTCATCCAAGCTGCCTGGCGTGGGGAGATGAAACTTGATATTCTCTACTCTTTCTTGGTTTTTTCCCTCCTGTCTGTTGCTGATTAGTGGTCGTCCTGATTTTTATGTAAAGATCTAAAATCCATTCGAGCATAGATCTTCAAACTTGGCAACTTTAAGACTTGTGGAAGTCCACAAGTCTTAAATTTGCCAAGTTTAAAGACACCCTGCATTAGAGGGTGTCGGTCCTGTTCCCCCAAAGAAGCTTCATATACGAGGAACCAAGACCAGTTCTGCAAGACTATTGTTATTTAAGCTCTTCTCTTTTTATTATTGCTGAATTATTTTTTATGAATTATGAACTATGTTTCTGTAGTGCATATTGGAGGCGATAACCCTCAGAGCTGTATGCAATGAAATTCCATTTTAATGTATGATTAGTGTACATTCATGACAGTAAAGTTAATCTAAGTCTAAGTCTATTCCTGGCTATTCGGGATGGGGTTTTAAAAATTACGACCCTGAGCTCTTCCTCAGTAGCATGTTGAATGCCATCCTGCCTTAGAGGCTCATCATTACACACTATATCATATCTATGTGATTTTTAAAAATAAAAAAATACAGAATCGGTTTATTATTGCCTTCTGTAGTGCAGTATATAATGAAGTCTTTGCTTTTATCATTGCTGATTGTCTGCATCCAGCATCTTCCTGTAATAGCTGCTGCTGCTGCTTGCTTGCTGGGATGACTTTCAGGCTTCGGGCAACTCGGCTACGAGTATATTCTTTTGGTATACAGTCTTGCTGTCTTTTGCTCAGCCTTCCCAGGAATATTTCACTTTCACCCCAATGGGACAATATAGCAGGATTTGAGAAAATTCCCTAGTAAATCCCCCAAATATGCTGAGTAAAGTCAAGCAGAGACCAAGCAATTAAGTCAGTGAAAGCAAGGCGCAGTTGGGTCAGGAGATTCTGGGTGCCGATTTTCAGCAGATGCTTGCTAACTTCGGGCAAGATATCATAGAACTATGTATAGTATTAAAAGATTCTTTAGGCCATCATTTCCAAACCTTTGCTCTAAACCCACAAATGCCACAGAAGCACCTCAATGACTGAAACTTTTGAGGATCTGACAGGAGTCCTTGTTTGGCATGCCATTAACTGAATGGTTGTTGAATGTGTGGTTGTAACACAAGGACTACATATATATCATTAGCAATCATAATTTATTTGAGATATTGAAAAAGGAATTGATTGCACTCAAGCTTTCTCTTAAAAGCAAGACTTAGAGATAAATGGGTACTCTCAACACTGAGTTCTTGAATTAAATCTTTCTTGTGCAGGTTGTCTTTCTTCCTCCAACCTGTTTTTTTGTGCTTTTCCTACAGTTTTACTTAATGCTCATTTTATACAGCACTCCTTGGGTGAGATAAGCAGGTTTTAAATTTGATAAATTGGAAGAATGGTGTTTATACTGCGCACCTCCACATTACAATACCATTTCCAGTACATTATACAGCATTTGTAATGATTACCATATTTTTGGAGTATAAGATGCATCAAGGTTTTGAAGAGGCAAATTAAAAAAAAGTAGGTAGATAGATAGAGGGATAGAGAGAAATACAGTAGACAGGTAGGGAGAGACAGAGAATAGGTAGGTAGATAAAGGGATAGAGAGAGAGAGAAATAGAGAAATACAGTAGGTAGGTAGGGAGAGAGAGTGTGTAGGTAGTAGGGAGAGAAATAGAGAGAAATACAGTAAATAGGTGGGGGGAAGAGAGTAGGTAGGTTGGTAGGTAGAGGGATAGAGAGAAATAGAGGGAGAGAAATACAATAGATAGATAGGGAGAGAGAGTAGGTAGGTTGGTAGGTAGAGGAAGAAATAGAAATACAGTAGATAGGTAGGGAGAGAGAGAAAGTAGGTAGAGGGAGAGAGAGCGGGAGGGAGAGGGAAGGGGAGAGAGAGAGAGAGAGGGAGGGAGGGAGAAATACAGTAGGTAGGTAGGTAGAAAGAGTAAGTAAGTAGGTAGATGTTTCCAGGTGTATTTATCCATGTCCTGGGGAAGGAAATTGCTGACAATCTGCAGCACCTAAGACTTTGTTTCTGCTAGCACAGCACTTGATCAATGTAATTCTCATCAATCAGTTAAAGGGCTTTCCAAAAAGGGGGAAAAAAAGGTTTTGTACTCTGCAAACCTCCCAAAATGGCCCGTTTTCCACAAAAACGAGCCCCCTTTTTTTTAAGGCACCCCTTGTGGGGGCTTGCAGAGTGCTCCTGGGAAGGTGGGGCAAAAACGAGCAAAAAACGGCCCGTTTTTTTCAAAAACGGCTCATTTTTTCAAAAATGGGCTCATTTTTTGTCAAAAAAATTGCCTGCATAGCCTTATGAAGGTTTATAGAGTGCTACTGGGGGCTTGGGGGGGGGGGCAAAAATGGCCTGGTTTTTGCTCATTTCTGCCCTCCCCAGCTCCAAGGAGCACTCTGAAAGTCTCCATAAGGGTATGCACAGCCATTTTGGTGAAGGAGGTGGGGCTTCGGGAGGCAAAAAAATGCTGTATTCGATGTATAAGACGCACCCAGATTTTCCAAGATTTTATATATAACACAAAATGAAACCAGTCCCCCCCCCCAGTTTTTAAATCAATTACTTCTGAACTACCTCCTATTTCACTTACATCTTTTTTGCTCCAGTCTTACAGTTTGTTTGCTCAATGATCTTGTAAATTACTTATAAACTTCTTAAACTCACCAAGATTATATTAATGGTTTTACTATACTTAAGAATGAATAACAATGAAATCATTACTTAAGAAACTAGTTATAGTATATAAACATTTAATTTGGAAAGTGGAATTTAGCATCTCTATCTGCAGATTTCTTCAAGTTTGATGGGCAAATTGTCAGAATACCTGCATCTTTCCTGTGCTCACACAGTAGTCTTTGCAACTACATGATTTCAGAAAGAGCACATTTCACTTACAGCATTTAACAACTGACAGAATGTGCTTATTCATGCACACTCAACATCTTGTTTTGTCTTCCAGATCTGGAACTCTTTTCTATCCTACTGAGCATAGTTTGAGAACTTCTAAAATTTATACAAATGGATGAGACCCATTGTTGACAGTCCTTTAATGGCATTTCATGAAGGAAGAGATCCTAAATCTCACAGATCTTTCTCAATTTGTGCCAAAATATTCATTCAAAAATTTCAAGAGGTAGATTGTTAGTTATACCAGTCTTAATTGGTCCTTTATATTAATATAAATATAAAATATTAGTACAATGAAAAGGAAAACACAAGTTCATTCTATGTAATTAGAACACCCATAAAATAGGAGCTCTTATGATTTTTTTCCAAAGAAAACCCATCCTAGGTGAACTGCCAATATAAAACATCACATTTTGAATATTTCAGTGTTTGTAGCACTTTCAGCATTCATTTATAATTTAAGCAGGAGACATTGGCCAAAAATATAAAAATAACTTACCAATGTTGTGACATAACAAATGTGAGAATTTAAAAAGACAGTGTTACCTCATACAGAATAAGCATACACTCGTGTCTAAAAATTTTAATTGTCAGGAGTAGAAAAGTAAAAATGCAAAAAAGAAAAAAGAAGATTTTTAAATATCTTCCTGCATATGCATGAAGTAGCAGTCTAGCAATTTCTTGCAGCCTCTTTAATTTTTTCACCTCTGGCAGCTGCCTGTTTGCTTAAGAGGTGATTTGCAGAGAAAAAAAAACCTAATGAAGCTTGTCTACTTATCCTTCCTTCAGCGGGATACCTGTACTGCAATGAAGCCATCTGTTCATTCTGTGCAAAGGAATCCTTCTGTTCAATCTAGATCCATAATTCACCCAAAGGTACTTTTTCAGGCGGCAACTGGACTTTGTTTTTTCTTTTGAAAACGTTTTGCTTCTCATCCAAGAGGTTTCTTCAGCTCTGACAGGATAGTGGGGAATGGAAGGATTTATATTCCTTGCAGGCAGCTGGTCATCAGCATCCTTTCAGAGGATCATTGAAGCACTTGGGAGGTTTATGTGTATCCTCAGAGTTACCTGAGTAGTGTTCCTGGTTCCTGTAATCTGCAGTTTTTCCTCTGGAAATCCATTCCTATTTCCAGAGGAAAAAAGTGTAGAACACAGGAACTATTTCGACTACTCAGGTGACCCCCGAAGACACAGATAAACTTCCAAGTGTTTCAACAACCCTCTAAAAGGATGCAAATGACCAGCTGCCTGCAAGGAATATAAATCCTTCCATTCCCCACTATCCTGTCAGAGCTGGAGAAGCTTCTTGGATGAGAAGCGAAATGTCTTCAAAAGAAAAAAAACAAAGTCCAGTTGCCTTCTGAAACAACAACTTTGGGACAACCATGACCTGGATGACTGAGAATCTCTATAGAGCCTTAATTGACTGAGCATCACTGAAAGAACACCCTTGCTGTCATTGCTCAAATGTTATTGAAGTAGCCCAGGATAAATGTTTAAAACACGACCATCACAGCGCACATCTTGCAGTACTACCAATCACCCAGACATCTTTGCCTTTTATTTCCCTTGGTTTTGAAAAATATTGAAAACAAGGAATGCAGGAGGAATCAGGGCCTAATAAAATCAGAAAACACTGTAACTAATTTTTCATTTTCAAATACTTTTGATTTCCAAAGTGGATCCACGTAAAGCAAATGTATCCTTTGAGAACTAGCGATTCCTGCGGCACGATGTTGTGTATTCCCAGAGAAACAGTGGCCAAAATGCAAATAAAATTCAAGTTTACTGATTTCAAGACATCTGA